AACCAAACAAGAAAGAGGATCACACTTCCTTATATAAACACCACGTCGGAAATGACAGCTAGCCTTCTCAGACCGTTCAACATCGACATTGCACACAAACCAACATGTAAACTTAGATCCAAGTTCACTAATCATAAAGACAAAACAAACGTAACCGAAAAACATAACGCCATTTACATGTTTACTTGCAAAAACTGCCCCGACAAGTACATTGGACAAACGTCTAAGAAAATTCGGACCAGATTAACCGAACATCAAAACGCCATTAACAGACACGACCATAATTCACTCCCAGTGCACGCAGACGATAACGGACACAAATTTGACTGGTCTCAAACGAGATGCCTAGGACAAGCTACTACGAAACATGCCCGTGAGTTTAAAGAAGCGTGGCATAGTATAGATAAACTAACATTTACGATGATTGCAATCACCCGCACTCCATGGCAACCAATAACAATCCATCAGCCGAAATGCGTGATCAACCAATCAGACGTTCCCAAAGGCTTCAAGAACGAGAACAGCGCGAAAATTCAAACATTCCAACTTTCTGATGAAGGCTCGAAGTACCGAGTCGAAAGCTCAAAACATTTAAACTAGAATCCAGAGAACTAAATAATTTGTAGAATTATTCAATTAATAAAATGCCTGGATTACAAATCTTCAACTCTATTAAATATATATATATATATATATATATATATATATATATATATATATATATATATATATATATATATATATATATATATATATATATATATACCCTGTATATTCTGCGAAATGCGAGGAGTGCGCGGACGATGAATGTGGAGTGTGATATTCATCAATCCGGCACTCCACTAGCTTAATTGGTTCAATTTATCAGACCATGGCGAAGGATGTTAGAGGCACCCAGTACAACTAAAACCGAAACCCGTAAAAAAATGGGCACCCAACAAACCAAGTGCCAGCAGTCAAAAGTTAGATTCTGTTTGATGCAACAAATATTAAAATGCGTTAGAAGATCCCAATGGTTCTCAGTTAGCCGATGCTGATGTATTAAATGTCGTGTAAATTACGTGATAGAAAACTCTTTCAAGTTAATTTGTTCAACACCGAGCTTAAACCATAGTAAAACGACAAAAATATAAATATACCTCCATCGAAGTTTATACTAGCATAATTGGATAACTACTGTTAGAATTGCTGAATTATAGAGAAAAAACCCAAATAGTTCCTTAATTAATTAAAGCTACAGAAGTTGCCACTTCGAAGAAACGTTCTTGCACAAGGAATAGTTGCCAAAAGGTTGCCGAGCAACTTGTGGACAGGATATTGTCCGTTATGCATGCAGGAAGAGTAAAAAATTGAATTGACCAAATATGCCTAAGGGCCCGGGTACGCCACTGCACGCGGTAAACAGCATTAAAATTTCCAGAGTGATGGTCAGATACATACATACGCCCTACATTGCATATTTCATCATTTATCCAACCAGCTGATAGGTGATTTGATCGCATCCATGCACTTTTGAGTTACTGGAGCATGCTTGTTCAAGTCTGTTGGGACGGGTACAAAATTCGACTTCATTGAAATATTGTATTCAGTTTTGCTAAGAAATTGCACGATGTCAAACCGATTTGGGACATATGAACATGTGCAATAGCTAATACACCCTTCCGGAAAGTACGTCATTTTGGCTATAGAGCCTCGTTTTCGTGTATTTTTTTTAACAGCTTTATTAGGAACTTAATATATTACATTAATAAGGTACAAATACAACAAACATGCAGTTCCTAAACGGGAAAATAGCGAACGGGCCATAATAGCCCATGCGAGGCTACCTCCCGATGTATCTGACATCAGTTAGGCAGACATCAAGGCCGCGTCTCAATCACGAAAACGAGGCTCTATAGCCAAAGTGACGTACTTTCCAGAAGCGTGTATTATAGAGTATTGTATGGAGTGCAAATGAACATGGAAGTGAGATTCACATTCTATTTGATCAGAGGCTCTTCCAACTTCGCCTTTCTAGCTTCATGCAGTTTGCCTCGCCGTTTTTTAAGAGCCTTTCGAACCAGGGTACGAATTTCGATCCGTTTTTTTCGAATCGTGATGGTTTGAGGGCGGTGACCACAAAGTGAAAAAATAGGTACGCGACGCGTACATGTATCTGCGAAAAAACTTGATTCACATTTTGTATTTTCTTGAAAGAAACTGAATAATGAAGATGACATGGGACAATTGAAATATTTCATCACTTATTATAATGGCAGATAAGATTTAAAACAGGGCTGTACACAGCGGGGAGTGCAGCAGGGCAAGTACAACCACAACCACCCCCCCCCACCCCCCCACCGAGAAAATTTAACTAACTTTATAATGTGATTATGATTGTAACAGATAATTATGCAGTCAGGAAATAAAAATTTCATGCAAACAATATTCAAAGTGTCTATACAGCCAGCTATTTAGTAAACTGTCACCTGTCAATTCAATCCATACTCATCAAATTTTGAAAACTTTATTGTAATCATATGAAGCAAAAGTTATGTCACTTGTTGTTTATACTTGCCAATGTTAACTGTTGAGTAACATACACAAAATATTTGGTGAACATGTCGAAGACCACTGAACAATTGAGAATGTTTTGAAGGTCATGAGTGAAGTGTATAATTAAATTCCAGTTCTGTGCACAGTTAATGATATACCACACTGTTCGGTTTAACACGTACAGCACATTCACACAAAAACAATCGTGTTGTGGGAGATTATCGGTTTGAGTAGAAGGTATCACAAGTTTAGTTTTGTACATTGTGTGCCATTGATCAAATCCACCATATAATATATATGATTATTCATTGTAGCTGTTAAGTTATTTTCCAAAACAATGAATTTAGGTAAGATTGTCTTGCAAGTTGGTTGTTCTGACAAAATTATCCAGCCAATATCCAGTACATTTATTCTTCATTCTTGTATTAATCTCTAAAGAAAAATATTTATGTTAGAAAGCAAAATGACAATGTAATGAGGCTCGGGAGGGTGAGGATTCTTTTATTTGAAAATGTTTGTAAAAATTTTGTTTAATTAACTCTAATGTGTAAAACCAAAATGCATAATTATTTTAACTGATAACATCTTCAACCTTAGCTCTAACACTACATTTGATGACAGCTTTATAGTTGGACTGTTGTTTTGAACAGAGTTATGGAGTAGTCAATATACAGAAATACAGGACCAGGATTTAATTCAATATCTCCTGAGAATGTTTTCACTGTTTAAAATATTACAGAAGTCACAGAAGGATTGTTTTTAATACTGTGTAAATCTTTTTGTGAACTATGTTGATAAATGGCTTAAAATATCCTCGAAAATATCCAATATTTTATACAGTGTAA